ATTGAGCCAATACATAAACAAAAATTAGTGCATAAACAGTAATCAATACAGAAATGATAATCAATACAAAAATAGTTGAATCCATAATCATTAGTAATAGAATCAATGAATAGTAAAAAAACCCAAAAAGCTCAATGAACTAGTACATACATCAAATCTCTATAGTAGTTATCGTATCTATAAAATCAATCAATTCGGTAGAGAAGTCATCGTATCTAAAACCTCAGTCAAATCATTAAATAAATACTCGAATCAGTAATATCAATCAAATCAGTCAATAAATCATCGTGTCAATAATATCAGTCGTATAAAGAGAGACCATCAATTTATTAATATCAATCGGTATAAAACATCAAATCAATAGTATCATTCGTGACTGTTGAAATCAAACTAATGCAGTAGAATCGTATCAAAACATACACATGCAATTCCAGTTATTCAATATCACGTGCTCAGTGTATCGCATGCAATCCAATAATCTATATCATATGTTCAATGAATCACATGTCACTTACTCAGTATATCATATGTATAATATCAGTACAGTGAATCAGTAGTATCAGAGCATGTATCAGTATTAGTAACAATCCAGAGATATAACATTAATGCTATAATAGTGAAATCATATAAATTTGTACAATATCAATAAAATCGTATAGTAATGAAAATAATGATGAAATACATGCTTCCAGTAATCACTCTCAACAAGTAGAAGCCCTGGCCATTACGGTGTTTTTCAGTCTTGTATCAGTATCAGTATCTTTATATCTGTTGGCTCAGTAAACAGAGTCGTCTCTTTTTGCCCGTCAACATAGTAATCATCTCCTTATAACTTCCATCAGTAATCACGTGATCAGTAGAGGATAACACCAAACCATATTTAAAGGAAAACCCATCGGCCCACCATCATGTATAGGTCAATCAGTCTCCAACCAACAATTCAACCAGTCTTTACTTATCTTTCACACACACAATATTATCACAATAATATAACAGTAATTTCAATCATATAGTCACATTCATCATCATCTCATCAGTGCATTGTAACCGTAAAACATGATTTAGCTCAATTTAGAAAATCCTTTAAATATCGTATAATAGACAAAAGTCATTGTATAATGCATAATTTTAAAAAATTACCAATGATCGTATAAAACAATGTTTCAAAACTTTTATTGTACTGTAGCAATATTTTTCAACATCCAGATAATTTTTTATTCGATAAAAATCCAATAAAAATTAGAATACCCGGTGAAAAATCTCCAGAAAATATTCAAAACGTGTAAAATCATATTATCTATAACATACAAAAAGTTATGTGGTGAAAGTTTCGTCAATATAAAGATAAGCTCATTTTTGGTAACAGAAACACAAATCTGAATAAAAAAAATACCAAAACACGAAATATTTAAAATAAAAATAGGATATGAATTCCTTAGTGCGAGACGAACAATTTTTCTAATTGCGACGACGGACAAAAATTGCTTCGCGGCCTCCAAAACCAAGCTTTTTTCCTTCTCTTTCTCTCTCTCCAGCTTTTTCTCTCTCCTCAAAACAATCAAACAGTCCTTTATATATATAAAAGGATATTTACATTCGTATGGACGATATTTAATTTTTGTTTCAAGACGATGGGCTTTGTCAAAAAAATGTGTTCAGCTCGTACAGACGAACTCAGTTCGTACTAATGGTTCGTACAGACTAAATGAAGAAATTTTCAACTGTTCGTCCGTACTAAGTCAGTTCGTACAGACAAACCTGCACCCAAAAAAATGAAATCTGGAGGGTTTTACATTTATACCTTTTGTTATACTCCATTTGACGTACGTAAGTGTATTGAGTTTTATGGCTTAAGGTTTAAAACACAATACAAGGAGTATTTAGTCATTTTGTTGTGATTTTCTCTATAAATTACTATTGCAATTTTCTATATAAATTACATTTATTGGCTAACATGCAGGGAGCATGTAGTTATTTTAAATTTCTATGTGTAATTCAATTTAAGATTAGTGAAAGTCACTTAAAGAAAGACATTATATTAAAGATATGAAATCCAAAGAGAAAAGAAACATCCTTAGTGGAGAGTTCTTTTCCTTTCGATATTCAAATTTGGATGAATATAAAAAACTAAAAGAAAGAAGGAAAAAGCCAAAAAGATTTGAAAACCAAAAGAAAACGCCTTCCTTTAAGATGAACTTGCATGATTCTCTAGGATTAGAATCTGGGTTATTGTCCGTGGAGCCTGACCATCACTATTTTTCTTACAAAATTGGGTTATAATTAAGTGATATTTGCTACACGACCTTTCATATTTATTTGATATAAATTGATGTTTTATGATTTCATTTAATTACATATTTTAGAAATTAACTATTTTTTAGGGTTATTATTTACGTGTGATATTTATTTTAGCTTGGAATGTGATTAGGCTCTTAAGGACAATAAAATTTTTCTACTTCTAATTAAATAAAAAAAGGCTCATATAGAAAGATAAACGATATTAGGAAGTAAGCCCCGGCTCACTTGGAGTTTTTCATGCTTACATATATATCTTCTCTTCTTGCTAGGAACCTCCCCGCTTGCAGGTCATGACAGACCCTTTGCTCTATTAGGGTGCAACTCTGTCTAGAGGATGTTGTGCATGTTTAGAAAAAAAAATCTTATTTTTATGCCTATTTTAAAGTTCACCACTTGTGATTTTTATATAGAGGGCCAAATTTGCATGCATTACAGTAGAAATAAATAAAAGGCAATTAATTAAGATTTAATTGCATTGAGCATAATCACACAATTACTAAGAGGGTCATTTAGAAAATTTTCTAGATATCAGACCAAATTTCTCAAAAACTTAAAAAACAAATCTTACCTATCCTTCATAAGCTCAGAGTCATGGTTTTAAATCATATAGGTCGTTTAGCTGGCTTTCCAATCATACCAATATAAGTCCATAATACATTAGTTGGGTTCAGGTCATTATTATGTAATGATCCAACTTAGACATAGGTTTAATTTGTGGCAGACCAAAAATCATATGTCCTCAACATTGGGAGTTTAATCCAAAAGTCTAATAAAATATCAACTCAAAATTAATTTTTTCTCATAAAAAATTTAAAGCCCAATATAAGATATGTCGGGGCACTTCTGAATAGTTTTCACAATCTCAAAGTGCTCCCTACCTTTCATCCTTTGGACTCTAAAACAAGTATTCACATTTGATCTAATCCTGATTGAAATTCCAACAACTCTTCCTTAATATCACTCTTTGAAAATTTAAATAAAATTTCTATAATTATTCTAATTGAGAGTATTCATAGGAAGCCTAAACTTTATATGATGTAATTAACTTCGTAGGAAGCCTAGCATTCTTCTATTATCTATTATTTTGATACCACTTTTCATGCACTGAGATCTAAATTCTCTGTATTAACTAACTAACTAACTTTGATACCACTCGACATCCGGGTAGAAGTCCTATGACCGAGTTGAAGTCAAGTGGTAGTCGGCCACCAGGTGGAAGTTCGGCGGTGGTCGATGGCCAAGCGGTGGTCCGACAATGGTTAAACTGAAGTCTGGCTGAGAACGGCGGCTGGGCGGTGGTTCGACGATAATCGGGTTGGAATCTGATGGTGGTCATCGACCAGGTAGAAGCCCGGCGGTGGTTGGCGGCTGGGCGGTGGTCTAACAATGGTCGAGTTGAAGTACGACGGCCGTAGACGGACGGATAGAAGTCCAGTGGCTGTCGGCGACTAGGTAGAAGTCCGGTGGCGGTCAGCGCCATAGCAATGGTTCGATGATGGTCTGGTTGAAGTCCGGTGCCTGTACGTCAGTCGGCGGCCGGGTGGAAGTTTGGCGATGGTCAACAGCCGGACGGTGGTGTTAGAGCTCTTGCAACTTTAGAGCTCTCTCCAATATCTAGACAAAGGTCAACCTCATGTAGAGAGTGTGGGTCTATTTATAGATTTTCATGAGTGGCACACTCCGTAAATATAGAGAAGATCCGATGCATGTTCGGAGTGCTCCATCGGATGGCTTGTATTGATTTTCCGGATCATAGAGAGTTTTTTAAATATTCAAGTGTCTAAATGATGTCAGAATTAAGTGATCTTGGGCTCGTTCGATTCGTTTCGCCGAGTCGCTCAATTTGATTATAAGCATGCCATATTTGAATATTATTTTGTCATCCAAATAATGCTTCAAACCTTCAAAATGTGGTTCGAGCTCCCGATTTGGACCCATTTGGGCTTGGGTCAGACCAATTTTTGTGTTGTTAGGTTTGTATCTTTGAGACGTTCAGTTTGACTATAAATTTGTTGAAATTAGAATTTAAAATATCCCAGATTTAATTTTGAAACTTTCCAACTTGAATATGTCTCGAGATTCGTGCACGATCAAGGCCATTTTTGGTGATGTATCAACATGAATTACTATTATCTTTTGGAAAAATTATTATGGCCTGGACATCATCCGGACTTCAATCATGCAAAAGATATGTGAATTTTTTTCTTTCTATTATGGATGGGATGCATACAAGAGAAAAAAATTCATGGACGATTAGCTAGGTCACACAGCTCACCTTGGCTTGTTGGTTGAGAGCTTATGCTTCTAACTAAGAGGTCTTGGGTTCAAGTCTTTATGTATGAGTTGTGTGTGTGAGTTTGCCTTAAATGACCTAAATGTTCAAAAAAAAAAAAAAAAAAAAAAAAAAAAAAAAAAAGCTAGGTCAGAGTCTCCGCAAGTAATAATTTTTTCACCTTTTGAAAGATTAAATTTACCGAAGATCTTACTATGATGCATTATTGGTCGTACAGTTACCAAAATAGGGAGAATGATTGGCAAATGGTAAAAGTTGTCAGGCCATCGACATCACCCGTGATACGGAAATTATTTTAAAACAATTTATCATACAAAAAATTTATTTTATAAAAAAAAAACTGATAAAAAATTTACTTTAAAAAACGGGGAAGAAAACTGTGCAAACAAAATACAACTCTAATCTTCAACTTCTCATCCAAAAATCCAGAAGAAAGAAGCAGCATGGAGATTCTCGGCGCCGCTATCATTCTCTTGATCTCAACAGTATTTTTCCTGTTCGGTCTCCTTCGAAAACCCAAGAAGCAGCTGACCGGACTCGTCGTCCCAGGCCCCAAAAACCTCCCCATCATCGGCAGCATCCATCATCTCCTCGGCCGCCGCCGCCTTCCCCACCACTCACTCCGTGACCTCTCTGCTGTCTACGGCCCCATCATGCGATTGAAGCTAGGTGAGATCAATACCATCGTCATCTCCTCTGCCGAAGCGGCAAAAGAGATTATGCAGACCCACGACATCATCTTCGCCTCGCGCCCCATCACTCCGACCATCGATGCTCTCTTCTACGGAGGAAAAGGCGTCGTCTTCTCCTCATACAGCGATTACTGGCGCCAGATGCGTCGACTCTGTGTGACGGAGCTGCTCAACTCGAAGCGCATCAGCTCTTTTCAAGCCGTAAGAGAGCAGGAGGTTTCCCAACTCATGCAATCCATTACAGCAGCCCCAACCGGGTTTGTCATCAACCTAAGCCGTGAGCTCGCCAACCTCGGAACCAACATCATGGTAATGTCAGTCATCGGCGGGCGGTGTGAGGACCAGAAGGTGTTTTTATCGGCTCTCGGTGAACTTGTAGAGTTGAACACGGGTTTCTCCATGGTTGATCTATTCCCCTCGATTCCCCATTTCATTAGCCGCATCGTCGGTATTCGAGCGAAGCTGGAGCGATGCCGATTAAAGCTAGATCGAATACTAGAAAAAATCGTGCAAGAGCACCATGAGAAGCGAGCTAAAAACTCCATAAAAGAGGAGGATCTCACGGACTCCCTTCTCAGAATCCAAAACGATGGTGGCCTGCAATTCCCTCTCTCCAATGACGACATCAAGGCTATCATTAATGTGAGTTCACAATAACGAACTTAAAGAATCTATTGTTTAAACTACTCATGCTTAGCTCGATTGGTGGGCATGTTCAGTTGCGAACACCCATCTCGAGTGGCAAACACCCTTTCAGTGGGTTGGGAACCCCCATCTCGAGTGGCAGACGCCTCTCAGTGGGGGTCCCAAAGCGCCGGCTATAGGTACAGTGGAATTGGTGGCCCTGTAGGTCGGATGGTATTTACGGACCGCCAAACGAGCTCGTCAAAGCTAGGCATGACAATAGATGGTTCCTCTTCATAAATAATAATAATAATAATAATAATAAAAAACTATTGTTTAACGCTTTACTAATGCCCTCCATCTTATTTAATTAATGTAGGATATTCTTGTAGCCGGAAGCGAGACGACTTGGACTACCTTGGAATGGTCAATTTCAGAGCTAGTTTGCAACCCGATCATCATGAAGAAGGTACAAAAGGAGGTGAGAGAGGCATTTGGCTTTGGCATGACAAAGATAATAGGCGACGAGGAGTTCCTGAGCGGCAGGCTTAGCTACATGCAATTGGTGATAAAGGAGACATTGCGGCTACACACTCCGCTACCCTTGCTGCTACCAAGGGTGAACCAAGAGAGGTGCGAGGTGATGGGCTATGAAATTCCTGCAAGGACTACGTTAATGGTGAACGCGTGGGCGATAGGGAGGGATCCTAAGTATTGGGAAGATCCGGAGGTCTTTCGACCAGAGAGGTTTGAGGAGAAGCATATTGACATGAGGGGAGCTAACTTTGAGATGTTACCCTTCGGTGCTGGGAGGAGAGTTTGCCCGGGGATTCAGTTTGGAATGGCAACGATTGAGCTGGCTTTAGCGCATTTGTTGTACTATTTTGACTGGGAGTATCCGGCTAAGAATGGAGAGTTGTTGGACATGACTGAAGCTTTAGGAGTTTCAACTAGAAGGAAGTCGCCACTTTGTTTATTGGCCACTCCCTGCATTCCAATCTTTGATTCAGAAGATAAACTCTCTACTTGATCTATATCTAGTCGATATGTTTTTTTTTTGGGTAAACCCGGAGCTAAAAGCTCATATATTAAGAAGTAAAGAAAATCAAATTACAAGTAACCTGAGAAAGAAAATTCTAGCAACAAAGACTAAAAACAGAAAATACAAGGACTACAGCACGAAGCCAATTAGAACAATAGGCATAAAATAGACTCAGAATAAATGCACAGTCTCATTCATCAAACTAATCTGAGTGTGATATGATGAATTCCGGGCGGATGCACTGGTTGCCCAAAAACTGAGAACAGAATCAGCAAGTATGGCCCTCGCAGAAACATCCAACCCCCCATAACGAAGATCCACAAAAGCGAACCAGGTTGCCTCGCAGGCCCTCCATGGCTCGGAGAGACTGCCATTGCTCATCATAGTCCGGATGCCAATCCTCCAACCATCTTGCCTGCTATAGTCCTTGTAATAAACCCAGGATATAAAAAGTATCCAGTCCAGAAGAAAACTGGGTTGAGAGAAAAGCACCAAAACCTCACAACCCCAAAAGTTAGTATCCGCCGTTTGGTGAAATTCTAAACACCAAAACTGTGCCAAAACCAAAAACCAGGGAAACAACAAAACCCCCGCGAAGACACAGTTGCATGAATGAAAATTTTCCTGGGCCTGGCGGTGATAAAACGTCCTCCAGCCAACGAACAAAACATAGAAGATGTTTAGGTGTTCAAAAAACTGTGAGAAATCTTTGTCTTGTTTTTCCATTTTGAGATTTTTAATCGAACAGCCATCGAAATATTGCAAATGACTTTAGCCACATTATCTCTAGAATTAGAGAAACGACGGTTGTTCCTTTCCCTCCAAATGTAATAAGTAATGCTGCTAATGACTAAAAAGCAGAAATCTTTGCCAGCTCTATTTAATAGCACAGAATTTTCAATGAAGTCCAAAGCTTGAGGCAGAGTGGGCCTAAAAAAGAAACTGGAAAACTCTGGAAGAACCGTTTTAAGAATGTAAAAAGAGAAGTCACAAACAAAAAATAAATGTGTATGATTCTCAAGATGTCCCGAGCAAAGAGAGCAATTAAGAGGCACCTGGATACCTCTAAAATGCAAGTTATCCGCAGTTTTCAGTTTTTGAAGCCTAGCCATCCAGGTAAAACAAGCGAATTTAAGGGCATGGTTCTTGTGCCATATAGAAGTATACCAATCAACATTTGGTAAATGGGAATAGAAAAAAGCTATGAATCTTTTAAAAGTCCAGTTAGCAGTGCCTTCCCATAAGACTTCATTTTTTTCCTTGATTTCCACAGCCTGCAATCTAACAAAAATGCTCGGATCAAGATAATTAGGAAGATTCCAGGAATCAGTCCTAATAAATTTATGAACTAAAACATCATCCAGGCCTTGCACTTGATAATTTTCCCCAATAGTATAACCATTTATCCACGGATCCCAGATGAAAGAAAAGTTGCTGTCATTGGACACAGAAAATTGAAGCAGCCCTTTAATTTTATAAAAAGTTTCTGATATACTATGCCAGAATTTAGATGCAGTAGAAGGTGGGTGTTTCCCAGGTGATATAAATTTGGATTTATACCACCTACAAAGCATATTCTGATTGTTATAAAACCTGCCTATAATAGAGCAAAAAACTCCAAAATAAAGAGCTTCAATAGAAGGTATTCCAAGACCCCCAACAGATTTTGGAATGTTGACTTTAGACCAGGAAATGAGGTGTAATTTCCTCTCCACTAAGTTGTTGTGAAAAAGAAACTTTGAACAAAGTTTGTTGATATAAACACAGCACCCCTTAGGTATGATAGATCCTCTTATCCAGTAAGCGATGAAGTTGGTGATGGTAAATTTCAGGAATTGGATTCTGCCTGCAAAAGAAAGAAACAAGTTTTTCCAACCAGCAAGTAGAGCAGTAATTTTGCTCAGTAGAGGTTGGAAGTGAGTAAATTTAAGTCTTTTAGGGGAAATGGGGATGCCGAGGTAAGTGAGGTAAGGACTGATGTTGTGTATGCCCAAAGCTTCGCAAATGAGGTTGTTACAAGGTTCATTGGAAGAGAATATGACAGCACTCTTATTAGGATTTATGTGAAGGCCAGATAAAGAGGAAAAAAGGTGTAAACAGCTATTCAAATGATTGGCATTGTCAATATTGGAATCCCCCATTACCAATAAATCATCGGCATACATCAAATGATTGATGTGAAGATCGTTGCAGCAAATTCCCTTGAACTGATTTGATGAGGTAGGGTCAATGAGAATATTGGATAAACCATCCATAGCAATACAGAAAAGCAAAGGGGACAAGGGGCATCCTTGTCTTAGACCCGAGGTAGAATTAAAAAATCCTTCAAGTGAACCATTTAAGCAAATAGAGAAATGCACATCAGTTATGCAACCTTTTATCCAAGTGACAAAACTATTAGGGAATCCTTTTTGTAAAAGCCTAGCAATAAGAAAATCTCTAGATATAGAGTCAAAAGCCTTCCTGATATCAAGTTTAGCACAAAACATCTTTTTATTTCCTTTGAATTCTCTTAATAACTCAGCAGCTAGAATAATGTTGTCGGTTGAGCATCTCTTTGCAATGAAACCAGATTGGCTTTCATGAATAATATGGGGAAGAACAACTTTGAGCCTGTTGGCGATGACTTTAGCAACAATTTTGTAAAGAACATTACAAAGAGAGATAGGTC